CTTCATGAGCCTGGATGGCCCACCAGGTCTCTTCCAACTCTAGAAATCTGTGATGTGGCTCTTCATGAGACGGGATGGCCCACCAGGTCTCTTCCAACTCTAGGATTCTGTGATGTGGCTCTTCATGAGACTGAATGGCCCACCAGGATTCCGTGATGTGGCTCTTCATGAGATGGGATGGCCCACCAGATCTCTTCCAACTCTAGGCTTTCATGATGTGACTCTTCATGAGATGGGATGGCCCATCAGGTCTCTTCCAACCTTAGGATTTCGTGATGTAGCTCTTCATGAGCCTGGATGGCCCACCAGGTCTCTTCCAACTCTAGAAGTCTGTGATGTGGCTCTTCATGAGACGGGATGGCCCACCAGGTCTCTTCCAACTCTAGGATTCTGTGATGTGGCTCTTCATGAGACGGGATGGCCCACCAGGTCTCTCCCAACTCTAGGATTCTGTGATGTGGCTCTTCATGAGACGGGATGGCCCACCAGGTCTCTTCCAACTCTAGGATTCTGTGATGTGGCTCTTCATGAGACGGGATGGCCCACCAGGTCTCTCCCAACTCTAGGATTCTGTGATGTGGCTCTTCATGAGACGGGATGGCCCACCAGGTCTCTCCCAACTCTAGGATTCTGTGATGTGGCTCTTCATGAGACGGGATGGCCCACCAGATCTCTTCCAACTCTAGGATTCTGTGATGTGGCTCTTCATGAGACGGGATGGCCCACCAGGTCTCTCCAACTCTAGGATTCTGTGATGTGGCTCTTCATGAGACGGGATGGCCCACCAGGTCTCTTCCAACTCTAGGATTCTGTGATGTGGCTCTTCATGAGACGGGATGGCCCACCAGGTCTCTCCCAACTCTAGGATTCTGTGATGTGGCTCTTCATGAGACGGGATGGCCCACCAGGTCTCTCCCAACTCTAGGATTCTGTGATGTGGCTCTTCATGAGACGGGATGGCCCACCAGGTCTCTCCCAACTCTAGGATTCTGTGATGTGGCTCTTCATGAGACGGGATGGCCCACCAGGTCTCTTCCAACTCTAGGATTCTGTGATGTGGCTCTTCATGAGACGGGATGGCCCACCAGATCTCTTCCAACTCTAGAATTCTGTGATGTGGCTCTTCATGAGACGGGATGGGCCACCAGGTCTCTCCCAACTCTAGGATTCTGTGATGTGGCTCTTCATGAGACGGGATGGCCCACCAGGTCTCTTCCAACTCTAGGATTCTGTGATGTGGCTCTTCATGAGACGGGATGGCCCACCAGATCTCTTCCAACTCTAGAATTCTGTGATGTGGCTCTTCATGAGACGGGATGGGCCACCAGGTCTCTCCCAACTCTAGGATTCTGTGATGTGGCTCTTCATGAGACGGGATGGCCCACCAGATCTCTTCCAACTCTAGGATTCTGTGATGTGGCTCTTCATGAGACGGGATGGCCCACCAGGTCTCTTCCAACTCTAGGATTCTGTGATGTGGCTCTTCATGAGACGGGATGGCCCACCAGGTCTCTTCCAACTCTAGGATTCTGTGATGTGGCTCTTCATGAGACGGGATGGCCCACCAGATCTCTTCCAACTCTAGAATTCTGTGATGTGGCTCTTCATGAGACGGGATGGCCCACCAGGTCTCTCCCAACTCTAGGATTCTGTGATGTGGTTCTTCATGAGACGGGATGGCCAACGAGGTCTCTCCCAACTCTAGGATTCTGTGATGTGGCTCTTCATGAGACTAGATGGCCCACCAGGTCTCTCCCAACTCTAGGATTCTGTGATGTGGTTCTTCATGAGATGGGATGGCCCACCAGGTCTCTCCCAACTCTAGGATTCTGTGATGTGGTTCTTCATGAGATGGGATGGCCCACCAGGTCTCTCCCAACTCTAGGATTCTAGGATTCTGAGTGGATTTTCCTTCCTTTTCTGTGGCAAGGCATCTTGCAAGAACATTTTGGATTGCAGGACCAAGCTTTTGCAAGCCTCACCACTCTAAACGCCTTCATCCTCCCCCCTCGATGGTTGCTGAAACCCTTACGGCTGCATCTCTGAATGGGTTAATTTGTTTTCATTTGCTTTTTCCTAAACGAGGCCATTGTTGAGTTGTGCGCTGTGCATTTTGTCCGGCTATGCACCCGCTTTCGCCCAGAATGGCCACCACATTAATTAAGGGACGGCTGTACCTGTCTGTTGCGACTGACAAGAGTTCCTTGGTGGGGACACTTTGGAGTTTGTGTTGTTTTCTTCACCCTGGGTTTGGGCACGGCGATGGCGACGACAAAGCCTTTGGGGGGGTTGTTCCTCCCCATTCCCTCTGGAGCTTCTGGGCGCATTGAAATGGGCCCCCGCCTCTCTCCGGAGAACTGCTCAAGGCAGAGCGTCTGTTGCATTCTTTCCCCAGATGAAAGGGCAGCGCAGCCCCTCGGGGAATGCTCCGGCAGTTGGAAAGAGCCTATTTAGTCGAGAAAAGGGAGCTGGCGCACCGTTGCTTAGCAAAGTGAGCCCAGCTCCCCAAAGGCACATACATACATACACACATACATGCGGGCATGTTTTGATACTCACACTTTCGAAGAAACCATAGGCAGAGCATTGAAACCTCTTTTGTCAGGTGCGCTTGCTGCCTTTCGTCCTCCCGCACTCGCCAATATTTCTGTTGGCTGTTTTGTTAATAAACCTCCCGTTTGAAGCGGCTAAGTTGCCATTTCCCGGGAAGTTGATTGTCCCTCGCCTGTGGAAGGCTCCGCTCTATTCCCCAGGTAGCAAAGGTGCCCGAAGGCCTTGTGTTGCATCAATGCCGCCTTCAGAGAATACAAATACTGGAGACACCGAGTCCCCAAGGCACGCTGAGCATTTCCTTTGTGGCATCTTCCCATCCACAGATTGTAACCAGAGACCCAAAAGTTTCTAGAAACTTTGAAGCCGTGAAAAAAAAACAGGGTTGTTTTTTTTTTTCCTGGTGAAAAACTCCAGAAAATGTCAGAGAGGGCTCATTCCCATCGGAAACTTAAAAACTGCTTCAGAATGCTTCATTCATAAGTTACTTGGCATATTAAATTGTTTTACTTGGTGTATATCAGGGGTGAGGCCACGCATGCGTACAAACAGCAAGGCTGGGTACAGCTTGTTGCTAGTACAGAATACGGACGTAAATACTTGTTCTCCATTCATTTTATGCAACATTGCATTTTATGCAATTTTATGCATTAAATGTCATTTTATGCAATATTGCAACAGAGTCCACTTGCTCTTTATCTTGTAGATCAGGCAGAGGCTGATGGTAAAACAGGATTTAGAGAGGATTGTGGGCACAAAGTAAAGGGCCTTCAAGCTTGGGCAATTCAGGTCTGGGAAAGGATGGTTCTCTGTGGCCAATCCAAGGAGTCAGAAGTAGCAACAGCAGATAAGAAATCGAGTGAAGTGCTGAGTAATAAGGAGGAGAAACCAACTGTAGTTATGGAGATTGACAAAAGTCTTTGTTTACAAATCAGAGTTGAAAATAGATTACACCGGTCTGAGAGATTACATGGGAAAGTTGTGAAGAAAATTCATGGGAGACGCCGTGCTTTCACGTGTGGCTATTACACAACAAATTTAAGAGAAGCCTCTGCCTTTTTTTGTGTTTGTGTGCCTCAGATGGTTCTCTCTGTGGCCAGTCCAAGGAGTCACAAGTAGCAACAGCAGATAAGAAATTGAGTGAAGAGCTGAGTGATAAGGAGGGTCCCCATGGGAAAACACCTGTAGTTATGGAGATCAACAAAAGTCTTCATTTACAAATCAAGAATTGAAAATAGATTACTCTGGTCTGAGAGGTTATGTGGGAAAGTTGTGGAGAAAATTCACGGGAGATGCAGTGCTTTCACGTGTGGCTATTACACAACAAATTTAAGAGAAGATTCTGCCTTTGTTTGTGTTTGTGTGCCTCAGATGGTTCTCTCTGTGGCCAGCCCAAGGAGTCAGAAGTAGCAACAGCAGATAAGGAATTGAGTGAAGAGCTGAGTGATAAGGAGGGTTCCCAGGAGAAACCACCTGTAGTTATGGAGATGGACAAAAGTCTTTGTTTATAAATCAGAGTTGAAAATAGATTATGCCGGTCTGAGGGATTATGTGGGAAAGTTGTGGAGAAAACTCACAGGAGACTCAATGCTTTCATACGTAAGCTATTAAACAACAAGTTTAAAAGAAGCTTCTACCTTTGCTTGTGTGTTTCAGATGGTTCTCTCTGTGGCCAGCCCAAGGAGTCAGAAGTAGCAACAGCAGATAAGGAATTGAGTGAGGAGCTGGGTGATAAGGAGGGTCCTCAGGAGAAACTACCTGTAGTTATGGAGATTGACAAAAGTCTTCGTTTACAAATCAAGAGTTGAAAATAGATTACGCCCCTCTGAGGGATTATGTAGGAAAGTTGTGGAGAAAACTTATGGGAGACGTAATGCTTTCATGGGTGGCTATTAAGCAGCAAGTTTAAGAGAAGCCTCTGCCTTTGTTTGTGTTTGTGTGCCTCATTGTGTGTCTCATACAAGGCATTGAATGTTTGCCGGTATCTGTTTACACTGTAATGTGCTCTGAGTCCTCACGGGGAGAAGGCCGGAATACAAACAAAATGTTGTTGTTATTATTATTGTTGTTGCTTGGAATAGTTTAATGGGCATGATAATGCTGGCGTACAATATGAAAAGTCATATTCTTTCTTGGCACAAGGTCTATGAGCTACTGAAATTTCACTGTGGCTTTTGCATGAGACAGGCAGATGTTGGCCGTAGTCCTCTATTCCTGTTCTCCGTCATGGCGGCTTCATGATTTACTCCTTGGCAGAACAATCCACACGTTCATGTGCGAGTTATAGATTCATGAGTTGTGTGACTTGATGACCTTAAATTGACATAAAATGGGAGATAGGGAATGTTGCAGGTGCAAAGAACTGGCTGCTATGGTGTTGTTTCGTTGTTGTTAAGACGGTCTGCAGTGTCAGTTAACCTGTGCTTTTTATCTTTCCCCCTTTCTCACAGTTACCTCCCTTGGTTTGAAGTCTTCTATAAACAGCTCAACATCTTGGCAGACTATACAGCCAAAGGCCAGGTAAGCTTTCAGAACTTTGCTACTGCTTAAATGTCCCGTACTACATGTGTGTGTGTGTGTATCTGTATGTTTTCATGCATCATATGCATTGACATGGCATGTAAAATCATAGAATCATAGAATCAAAGAGTTGGAAGAGACCTCCTGGGCCATCATCCAGTCCAACCTCATTCTGCCAAGAAGCAGGAATATTACATTCAAATCACCCCTGACAGATGGCCATCCAGTCCCTGTTTTAAAGCTTCCAAAGAAAGAGCCTCCACCACACTCTGGGGCAGAGAGTTCCACTGCTGAATGGCTCTCACAGTCAGGAAGTTCTTCCTCATGTTGGATGCTGAATAGAAGGCATCTTCACTTTCTCTTGCTGTTCACACTGAAACAAGGAAGTTTCCTACATTTCTGGTACTGAGTGTGACGTCCGAGCCAGGAAATACCTACCGCACCACAGGTCAGGTGTATGTGGGGGTGTAATATTATATATTACATGTAGTATTACTAATAATATTACAATATCATGGTGTAGTACAATATATAATACTGATGTTGTACTATGCTAATAATTTAATAAGTGTCGTAAATAAATAAATAGAGCTTGGTGTATATTTTCGCTTATCACTGTCACTGAATTATAAGTTATGCTGGTCTCTTCTGCCCAGTGTGGAACACATCTCACCACACTGAAGCAGTGGATGTGGCTCTGAATGAGACATGCCGCATCATCACAGGGTGTCTGCGCCCTACACCACTGGAAAAATTATACTGCCTAGCCGGTATTGCACCACCTGACATCCGCCGGGAAGTAGCAGCCAATAGTGAAAGGACCAAGGCAGAGACACCTCCAGCTCATCCCCTGTTTGGGTATCAGCCAGCACGCCAACGACTTAAATCAAGAAATAGTTTTCTAAGATCTACAGAGACACTCGCTGGAACACCTCAGCAAGCGAGAGTCCAAAAGTGGCAGGCTCAAACCGAGAACCTCAACCAATGGCTGATACTAAATGAGAGACTCCACCCTGGGCACACAGAGGACTGGGCGACTTGTAAGGCACTGAACAGACTGCGCTCTGGCACCACGAGATGCAGAGTCAACCTTCAGAAATGGGGCTACAAAGTGGAATCCTCGACATGCGAGTGCGGAGAAGAGCAAACCACTGACCACCTGCTGCAATGCAACCTGAGCCCTGCTACATGCACAATGGAGGACCTTCTTGCAGCAACACCAGAAGCACTCCAAGTGGCCAGATACTGGTCAAAGGACATTTAATCAACTACCAAACTCACAAATTTTGTAACTTGCTTGTTTTCTTTGTTTCTGTTAGAAATGTAATATAATTTCACTGGTTGTTCTGACACGACAAATAAATAAATTATAAGTTATGAGACAATGAGTCGCATGATGGATTGTGTCCTCAGGAAGGATTTTGGCCCCTCGGTCGTGGACGGGAGGAGAAAAAGAGGCCGTTCCGTGGATCAGGGCTATGCCACCACAACCACCTCCTCTTTCAAAGTGACCTTCTCCTTTTTTCTCTTTTTCTTGCTTCAGGACAGCCAGTGGTATGAACTTCTCGAGACTCTCTACAAACTGCCCATCCCTCAGCCTGGCTCTTCTGTCCATCTCAGCGTGGTAAGTGGGACCTCTCAGATCCAGAAGTAGTGGGGGTTCACGTGGGATTCGGTGGGATTGATTTCCAAGGGGATTGCGTTGGATTACGCTGTAAATTGAAGGGAAAGCATGAAGTCGACTGCAACCCATAGCCCACCCATCTTCAAGGGGCTCTGCTGGTTCACATCATACTAAAGACATGTGTAAAGTTTCAAACAGAGGCAGACTTTTGAATTTCCCCCCCCCCCCGCCACTGTCTTCACCAGGCATGGGCCAACTTTGGCCCTCCAGGCAAACATTCAATGCCATTATACACCGACTAGACAGACAACTAGCCTGTAACCCACCTTGAATCACCATATGCCAGGCTAGAAATCTATATAAATAAAAATGTCATGTTCGTTTGTGGGATTAACAGAACTCAAAAACCACTGGATGAATTGATATGAAATTTGGACACTATACCCCTAACAGACCAAGGAGTGACCATCACTCATAACACCCCCCCCCAAAAAAACAGCAGAAAGGACTTAAAAACCCCAAAAGCTAAATGACAACAGAAAAAGGGAAGGCGAAGGAAGGAAGGAAGGAAGGAAGGAAGGAAGGGAAGGAGGAAGGAAGGAAGGAAGGAAGGAAGGAAGGGGAGAAAGAAAGAAAGAAAGAAAGAAAGAAAGAAAGAAAGAAAGAAAGAAAGAAAGAAAGAAAGAAAGGAGGGAGGGAGGGAGGGTCAAGAAAGAAGGAAAGAGGGAAGCATGGAAGCAAAGAGCAAAAGAAGGAAGGAAAGAGGCAGAGAAGGAAGGAAGGAGAGAAAAAGGAAGGAAAAGATAAAAGGAGGAAGGAAGGAATGAGGTAGAAAAGGAAGGAAGGCGAGAAAGAAAGAAAAAGGGAAGAAAGGAAGGAGGGAGCAAAGGAAGGGAAAGAAGGAGAGAAGCCTAACTTTTCATCCTTTTTGAAGCAATCTCGTATCTGTCTATATTGGAACCATGAAATTTTCTCATTTGTTTCCTCCATTTCTTGTTGCGATTTTAGAGTTATATTTCCATTTTCTTTTTTAAATAATTCTTTGTATTTTGGCCAGTCATTCCAGCCTAATTCTCTTCTTTGCAGTGCTTCCAGCGGGGATATCCATTGTGGAGTTTTTTCACATATTTTCTTTTTATATTTTTCCCAAATTTTGTATATTGCCGGCCTAATGAAATGGTTTCCATTTTTTTTCCTTTTTCACTCCCTCATACCATAGGTATTGGTTGTCAGAGTATTGACGCTTGCCAGCGGAAGGATTGCTAGATCAGCAGACACTGTGTTTTAGTTACAATAGAAAACTAAGTTTTACTAAGTACATCTACACACGTCTATTCACAGCAAGCTACAGACAGCAACTCCTAGGCAAAAACAACAGTCTCTGAACACCTGCTTATCTGACTTCTGGCTGAGACCAGATCCTCCCTCTTCTTCCCAGCCAGAGAACACGTTATCTCATTTCTGTCAAGGTTACAGTTTCACAGCCTCAGCACAGTATTTCTGATACACAATAGAGCAGAATAGAATCCATCTTGAAATACATCTTAATCCATCTTGTATTATATAGAAGCACATTGAAAAACACACATACATAGCTAAATAATCCTGACATTGGTGCCATCCGGCTCTCAGGTCTATTCCTTCCAGGTGTAATAATTTTTCGTCTTCCAGTTTTGTCCAATCTTTTATCCACGTTAAAGCACACACTTTAAGTATTGATGGGAGTTTCACGGGGTTCACTTGGCATGATGTGAGCTGTAGTTCACCCACAACCTTATGCCCGGGCAACGCTGGGGAGCCAAGCTAGTTTCAAACAAATGCAAAAAATGTATGGTGGTATTTTAAGAAGAGTCGTAACACATATATGTTTTTTCTCCCCCGTTTTCCTCCTTAGCACTCTTATTTTACTGTGCCTGACATCAGAGAACTTCCCAGCATACCTGAAAATGTGAGTAAGTTGTGTGTTGTTTCTCAGGTGGGTGGAAACATGCCACAAGGGGTTTCAGGAAGCACGTATTGGGGAGAAAGAGGAAGTCAACACCCCACAAAGTTTGCAAACTTGGCATTCTATTCAATGTCCTTTGACCAGAAGCTGGCCACTTGGAGTGCCTCTGGTGTGGTTGTGAGAAGGTCCTCCATTGTGCGTGTGGCAGGGCTCGGGCCGCATTGTAGTTGGTGGTCTGCAAGTGCGGAGAAGAGCAAACCAGAGACCACCTATTGCAATGCAACCTGAGCCCTGCCACGTGCACAGTGGGAAACCTTCTCACAGCCACACCAGAGGCGCTCCAAGTGGCCAGCTTCTTAGTACAAGTATACCGTATATACTTGAATATAAGCCGACCCAAATATAAGCCGAGGCGCCTAATTTTACCACAAGAAACTGGGTAAATGTATTGACTTGAGTATAAGCCAAGGGGGAGAAATGCAGCCATTACTGGTACGTTTCAGAACAGAAATAGATACCAATACAATTACATTAATTGAGGCATCAGTGGAGTAAACATTCAAAAATATTTACATAAAATTGTAATTTAAGATCAAGCTGCCTAACTCTGATTAAACAATTATTCTAATCTTCTTCAATGTGAATGTGCTTACACATCCTTCCAATAATAATAAAGGGAGTAAAATAATAAATGTAATAATAATAATAATAAATAGAGTAAAATAATACATGTAATAATAATAATAATAATAATAATAATAATAATAATAATAATAGAGTAAAATAATACATGTAATAATAACAATAATAAATAGAGTAAAATAATAAATGTAACAATAATAGTAATAAATAGAATAAAATAATAAATGTAATAACAACAATAATAAATAGAGTAAAATAATAAATGTAATAATAATGAATAGAGTCTCCAGCAAAGGATCACCGCCTTGCCGGGGCGCTGGAGCTTGAGCACCTCAATGATGTCATGAGTGAAACCGTGAAGGGCCACCCAAGACGGGACGGTTGTGGCAGAGAGGTCAGACCAAGCGTGATCCCTGGGGAAGGCAATGGCAAACCACTCCAGTATCCTTGCCAAGAAAACTAAATGGACCAGTACAACCAGAGATATGTCGGTATGCCATTGGAAGATGGGACTCCCAGGTCGGAAGATGGCCAAAATGCTACTGGGGAGGAGCAGAGGAGAAGTTCAACTAGCCCCAGATGTGATGACGCAGCTAGCTCAAAGCCGAAAGGAAGGCTAGCGGCCGACGGTACCGGAGGTGAACGACGAATCCGATGATGCTCTAAAGATCAACACACCATAGGAACCTGGAATGTAAGATCTGTGAGCCAGGGCAAATTGGATGTTGTTATTGGTGAGATGTCAAGACTAAAGATAGACATTCCCGGGGTCAGCGAAGTAAAATGGGACCAGAATGGGCCACTTCACATCAGATGGCACCAGATCTACTACTGCGGACAAGAGGAACATCGAAGAAATGGAGTAGCCTTCATAATTAATAAGAAATTCGCTAAAGCGGTGCTTGGATACAACCCAAAAAATGACAGAATGATCTCAATTCGAGTGCAAGGAAAGCCTTTCAACATCACAGTGATCCAAATATACGCCCCAACCACAGCTGCTGAAGAAGCAGAAGTAGATCAGTTCTATGAGGATCTGCAGGACCTACTGGATAATACACCAAAAAGAGACGTTATTTTCATTACAGGAGACTGGAATGCCAAGGTGGGAAGTCAAATGACAACAGGGATCACAGGCAAGCATGGTCTGGGAGAACAAAATGAAGCGGGACGCAGGCTGATAGAATTTTGCCAGGAAAACTCGCTGTGTATAACAAACACTCTCTTCCAACAACCTAAAAGACGGCTTTATACATGGACTTCACCAGACGGTCAACACCGAAATAAGATTGACTACATCCTTTGCAGCCAAAGGTGGCGGACATCCATCCAGTCGGTGAAAACAAGACCTGGGGCTGACTGTAGCTCAGATCACGAACTTCTTATTGCCAATTCAGAATAAAACTAAAGAGATCAGGGAAAATACACAGACCAGTTAGATATGATCTCACTAACATTCCTAGCGAATATACAGTGGAAGTGAAGAACAGATTTGAAGGACTAGATTTAGTAAACAGAGTCCCAGAAGAACTATGGACAGAAGTCCGCGACATTGTTCAGGAGGCGGAAACAAAGTACGTCCCAAAGAAAAAGAAAACCAAGAAGGCAAAATGGTTGTCTGCTGAGACACTGGAAGTAGCCCAAGAAAGGAGGAAAGCAAAAGGAAACAGTGAAAAGGGGAGATATGCCCAGTTAAATGCGCAATTCCAGAGGTTAGCCAGAAGAGATAAGGAACTATTTTTAAATAAGCAATGCATGGAAGTGGAGGAAGACAACAGAATAGGAAGGACAAGAGACCTCTTCCAGAAAATTAGAAACATTGGAGGTAAATTTCAGGCAAAAATTGGTATGATAAGAAACAAAGATGGCAGGGACCTAACAGAAGCTGAAGAGATCAAGAGAAGGTGGCGAGACTATACAGAAGATCTGTATAGGAAGGATAATAATATTGAGGATAGTTATGAAGGTGTGGTGAATGAATTAGAACCAGACATCCTGAGGAGTGAAGTTGAATGGGCCTTAAGAAGCATTGCTAACAACAAGGCAGCAGGAGACGACGGGATCCCAGCTGAACTGTTTAAAATCTTAAAAGATGATGCTGTCAAGGTGATGCATGCCATATGCAGCAAATATGGAAAAAACAAGAATGGCCATCAGACTGGAAAAAATCAACTTATATCCCCATACCAAAAAAGGGAAATGCGAAAGACTGCTCAAACTTCCGTACAGTGGCCCTTATTTCTCATGCCAGTAAGGTAATGCTCAAGATCCTGCAAGGAAGACTCCAGCAATACATGGAGAGAGAGTTGCCAGATGTTCAAGCTGGGTTTAGAAAAGGCAGAGGAACGAGAGACCAGATTGTCAATATCCGCTGGATAATGGAGAAAGGCAGGGAGTTTCAGAAAAACATCTACTTCTGCTTCATTGACTATTCTAAAGCCTTTGACTGTGTGGATCATAATAAATTGTGGCAAGTTCTTGGTTGGATGGGCATCCCAAGCCACCTTGTCTCTCTCCTGAGGAATCTGTACAAGGACCAAGTAGCAACAGTCAGAACGGACCACGGAACAACAGACTGGTTCAAGATTGGGAAAGGCGTACGGCAAGGCTGCATACTCTCACCCACCCTTTTTAACTTGTATGCAGAACACATCATGCGATGTGCGGGGCTGGATGAATGCAAAGCTGGGGTGAAAATTGCTGGAAGAAACATTAACAACCTCAGATATGCAGATGACACCACTCTGATGGCCGAAAGCGAGGAGGAGCTGAGGAGCCTTCTAATCAAGGTGAAAGAAGAAAGCGCAAAAGCCGGGTTGCAGCTAAACGTCAAAAAAACCAAGATTATGGCAACAAGAATGACTGACAACTGGGAAATAGAGGGAGAAACCGTGGAGGCCGTGACAGGGTTTGTATTTCTAGGTGGGAAGAGGAGTGCAGATGCAGACTGTGGCCAGGAAATCAGGAGACGCTTCCTTCTTGGGAGGAGAGCAATGTCCAGTCTCGATAAAATAGTCAAGAGTAGAGACACCAGACTGGCAACAAAGATCCGCCTAGTCAAAGCCATGGTCTTCCCTGTGGTCACCTACGGATGTGAGAGCTGGACCTTCGGGAAGGCTGAGCCAAGGAAGATCGATGCTTTTGAGCTGTGGTGTTGGAGGAAAGTGCTGAGAGTGCCTTGGACTGCGAGAAGATCCAACCAGTCCATCCTCCAGGAAATAAAGCCCGACTGCTCACTGGAGGGAAAGATACTAGAGACAAAGTTGAAGTACTTTGGCCACATCATGAGGAGACAGGAAAGCCTAGAGAAGACAATTATGCTGGGGAAAGTGGAAGGCAAAAGGAAGAGGGGCCGACCAAGGGCAAGATGGATGGATGGCATCCTTGAAGTGACTGGACTGACCTTGAAGGAGCTGGGGGTGGTAACGGCCGACAGGGAGCTCTGGCGTGGGCTGGTCCATGAGGTCACGAAGAGTCGGAGACGACTGAACGAATGAACAACAACAACAATGAATAGAGTAAAATAATACATTTAATAAGAACAATAATAAGCAGAGTAAAATAATACATGTAATAATAATAATAATAAATAGATTAAAATAATAAATGTAATAAGAACAATAACAAATAGAGTAAAATAATAAATGTAATAAATGTAATAATAAATAGAGTAAAATAATGAATGTAATAATAATAATAAATAGAGCAAAATAATAAATGTAATAATAATAATAAATAGAGTAAAATATTAAATGTAATAATAACAACAAATAAAAATAATAAATACAGTCAAATAATTACTGTAATAATAACAATAATAAGTAAAATAATAAGTGTAATAATAACAATAATAAATAGAGTAAAATAATAAAGGTAATAACAATAACAAACAGAGTAAAATAATAAATGTAATAATAATAATAATAATAAATAGAGTAAAATAATAAATGTAATAATAAAAATAACAAACAGAGTAAAATAATGGAAATATAATAACAGTAATAACAGTAAAATAATAAATGTAATAATAACAATAACAAAAAGAGTAAAATAATAAATGTAATAATAACAATAATAGAGTAAAATAATAAATGCAATAAAATCAATACTAATCACAGAGTAAAATAGTAAATAACCTTTGAGTTGAGTATAAGCCGAGGGGAGATTTTCTAGCCTAAAAAAGGGGCTGAAAAACTAGGCTTATACTCGAGTATATACAGTAAATAAACAAACAAACACATAAATAAATATTTTTATTCAAAGGGCAAGCTGGATAGGTCCAATACATCTTAAAATATACCAGTATAAACATATACAAACGACGCAACGGACCTCTCAGAAATCACCTCTTGCAAGGCAATGACTTCCTTTCCATGGAGAGAGTGTGTTTGGCTACAGGTGGGTTAAACCGAGATGCCCAGGAAAGGAACCATGGCAGGCCCAGAGCTATTCCTTTGGTCCTTTCAGATGGTTGTGCTCAATGCTGCAGGGTTTATGAAGCACAGCTCCTTTTCCCCCTTTTCCCTTCACCAGTGTCTTCTCTGCCTGTGGATGTCTGTTGGCAGAACTCTCTGGTATGAGTCAACTTCCCATAACATTCAATCAGTAGACATTCGGGATGCTCGTGAATCAAAGGCGGCCATAAAAACGGGAGGCTGTGGGCCAGAAACACTTGGAAAAGAGGTTTAAAGCTGCGCTGCTCAGGGCTGTGAAGTGGGTGTGATCCGGGGAGATGCCTTTGTTGGGGATGTGTGGGAGGGAGGCTGAAGGCCCCCCCAGGGAAGAATAACTGGACCGTGCCTGCCTGCCATCCAGACCCTTTAAACTTTTATACGGCTTTGCATGTGTGGATCTTGGAGCAGGGAGAGGCAAATGCAAAACAAATGCAGGAGTTGCACTCCGGCTCTGCTTTTCCTTCCTAGAATCCTAGAGTTAGAAGAGACCTCTTGGGCCATCCAGTCCAACCCCCTTCTGCCAAGAAGCAGGAATATTGCATTCAAAGCACCCCTGACAGATGGCCATCCAGCCTCTGTTTCAAAGCCTCCAAAGAAGGAGCCTCCACCACACTCCAGGGCAGAGAGTTCCACTGCTGAACAGTTCTCACAGTCAGGAAGTTCATCCTCATGTTCCTCCTGCGCCTTCATCACTTCCGCCTTCTCTGCCCATCCACGTTTAAGCCTCCCGGGAGGTGGACAGCACCGTGCACACTGTTGTTAGAACAGCCAGCAGTGGCAGTTGTGTCGTTTTGCACCAGAAAACTTTGCACACACATCCTCACAACCTCTGAGGATGCTTGCCATAGATTACTTAGGCGATCCCTTGTTGTCCGAGTAGGATAATCCTCCATGGTGGGTCCGTAAGAGCTCCACAGCCACCTACGGACCCGCCCTGGAGGATTATCCTACTCGGACAATGAGGGATCGCCTAAGTAATCTATGGCAAGCATCCTCAGAAGTTGTGAGGATGTGTGTGCAAGGTTTTCTGGTGCAAAATGACACCTACATCTTCTCCCGCAGTGAGGGCATCAGTTTCCAGGTGGAAGGCGGTCCTGGTTGGGGTTGGCTTGAAGTGCCTTCCTCTTGGCATGTCTCTCTCTTTTGCCCTCCGTTCGTGCCTCTTCTAATTCTGCATCACTGCTGGTCACAGCTGACCTCCAGCTGGAGCACTCAAGGGCCAGGGCTTCCCAGTTCTCAGTGTCTATGCCAGAGTTTTGAAAGTTGGCTTTGAGCCCACCTTTCAATCTCTTTTCCTATCTTCCAACATTCCATTTTCCATTCTTGAGTTCGGAGTAGAGCAACTGCTTTGGGAGATGGTGGTCGGGCATCCGGACAACGTGATGATGTTGGAGGACCATCGCTTCAATGCTGGTGGTCTTTGCTTCTTCCAGCACGCTGACGTTTGTCCGCCTGTCTTCCCAAGAGATTTGCAGGATTTTCCGGAGGCAGCGCTGATGGAATCGTTCCAGGAGTTGCATGTGACGTCTGTAGACAGTCCACGTCTTGCAGGCATAGAGCAGGGTTGGGAGGGGAATAGCTTTATAGACAAGCACCTTGGTCTCTCTACGAATGTCCCGGTCCTCAAACACTCTCTGCTTCATTCGGGAAAATGCTGCATTTGCAGAGCTCAGATGGTGTTGTATTTCGGTGTCGATGTTGACTTTTGTGGAGAGGTGGCTGCCAAGGGAGCAGAAATGGTCCACATTTTCTAATGTTACCCCATTAAGCTGTACCTCTGGCAGAATGGGGTTGGACTGGATAGCCCATGAGGTCTCTTCCCACTCTAGGATTCTATGATTCTATGACTATGAGAGCTGTTCAGCAGTGGAGCTCTCTGTAGTGGAGTGTGGTGGAGGCTCCTTCTTTGGAGGCTTTGAAATAGGGGCTGGATGGCCATCTCTCAGGGGTGCTTTGAATGCAATATTCCTGCTTCTTGGCAGAATGGGGTTGGACTGGAGGATGGCCCAGGAGGTCTCTTCCAACTCGAGGATTGTATGATTCTGTGAGTAAGGGACCCTGGCTGATGCAACGCCTTTGCAACAACCCTCACGTGGTTGTGACTCAGCCATTGCTACATCCCCTTGACCTTCACGGAGTGCTCTCCATACTCCACATGATCATCCCAGAGTATTTTCCTCAATGCAGTGTCCTTCCTCCCTAACCAATTCCCGGGTGGATCGGGGTTGACGGAGCTGTGTTTGGTTTCCTGTCTCCAAGACCCGAATGGCTTCCGCTTCCTGCTCGCCGACTCTTCTGTTTAGACACAAGCTTCTTGCTAATCAGCACAGATGGGATGAACACAACATGTGTGTGTGTGTGTGGGGGGGGGGGGGGGGGTAATGCTTTCCTCTGAGGTTCTGATCAAATCTGTTCTTTTCCTTCTCCCCCCCCCCCCCAACCCTTCTTTTTTGTTACCTGGATGCGCTCACACCTTTCCCACCTGATACGGCCGGCCAGCGCGGCATCGAGACCCCGACCCAGCCTCGGCCCCTCAGTGTGTGTTTATTGTTGTGCTTGATTTTTCCCCCAAACCAGGAAACGCAGCAGAGCTTAATTTTTGGGTCTGTAGCGCTCCCTTTGTATTTGGACGGCAAGCTGTGGAACATATTTCTGCACAGTGGGAAACGTCTTGGCAAACTTCTCCAGCCAAGAATTAGGGAGTTATCTTTGGATCTGTCAAAAGTGCTAATGGGCTCCCTCCGCTTCTGCGCCATGCTCAATCCGGTTGGCCCTTTTGCCGTCTTTTTTCGAGGGCCAGGGTTTGGATATGTGTGTGTGCATATGTGGCAAGCGGTGGTGCTGTGGCACATGCGCATTTCTGTGCATGTTGGTTTTGTTTACTACGTTTTCTAAACACTCGTGGCCCTTGGGTTACGCATGAGCCTCAATGTGCTTTCATTCACATACTTGGGATTGCTCTTTACCAACATCCCTATATATCTAAATCTATATCTCTATCTCTATCTATCTATCTATCTATCTATCTATCTATCTATCTATCTATCTATCTATCTATCTATCTCTATCTCTGTCTATATCTATATCTATATCTATATCTATATCTATATCTATATCTATATAAATAAAAATGTAATGTTTGTTTGTGGGATTAAGATAACTCAAAAGCCACTGGATGAATGGACACCCAATTTGGACACAAGACACCTCTCAGGCCAACAAGTGACCATCACTCATGAAAACACTGAAAAACGCAGCAGAAGGGACTTAAAAGCCAAAAAACAAAAAAAACACATTACAACGCATGTGCAAAACCACATATATCTACATCTATAGATATATACACACAAAACACATACACAGGAGGGAGGGAGGAAGGAAGGAAGGAAGGAAGGAAGGAAGGAAGGAAGGAAGGAAGGAAGGAAGAAGGAGAGAAGGAAGAAAAAAAGAAGGGTAGAGAAGGAAGGAAGGAAGGAAGGAAGAAGGAAAGGAAGGAAGGAAGGAAGAAGGAAAGGAAGGGAGAAATGGAAAGAAGGGGGGAGGGGAAAAGGTATGAAGGGGAAAGGAAAGGAAGAGAGATGGAAGAAAGAAGGAAGGAAAAGAGGTGGAAAGAGAGAAAAAGAAGGGAAGAGAAAAAGGAGGAAGAAGAAGAAGAAAAGGAAAGGAGAAAGAGGAGAAGGAAGGAAGGAAAAGAGTGAGAGGAAGTAGGGAGGGAGGGAGAAAGGAAGGAAGGAAGGAAGGAAGGAAAGAAGGGGAAAAGTATGAAGGGAGGAAAGGAAAGGGGGAAAAGGGGGCAGAGGAAAGGATGGGGGAAGAGAGAAGAAGGGAAGAGAAAGGAAGGAAGGAGAAAAGGGAATGGGGAAGGGGAAAATGTATGAAGGGAGGCAAGGAAGAGAAAGGGAAGAAAGAGGGGGTGCAGGAAAGGAGGGGTGGGAAGAGAGATAAAGGGTCCGATATAAGAAGAGGAAGAAAGAAAAGGAAAAAGGAGAAGAGAAGAAGGAGAAGAGGAGAAAAGGAAGGAGAGGAAGAGAAGGAGAAGGAGGAGAGGAAGGAAGGAAGAAAGAAAGAGGAGGAAGAAGGAAGAAGGGAAGGAAGGAAGGAAGGAAGGAAGGAATGTACGAGGGAAATGAAGGAAGGAGAAAAAGAGCCATCGGCAGTGTTTTTTGTGGAGTTGGGCCATGTTCTCTGTCACGAAGGGTTCCTTCCTGGTGTTAGGAAAGGGCACTCCTCTGTCTCCTCTGCCTGGAAGCATGGCAATAAGAGCGCATCGTACGATGTGTGCCTGCCTGCACATCTCCATCGACCACCGCCTTCCACTGAAGCCACCCATGAGAGGTTTCAGGGGAGACCGGCTACGTCCACATGGGTCGTCCAAATAATTATCTGATTCCCAGTTGCACATCCCATTCTGCTGTCTTGGCACCTGCGCTTGCGCCGCCTTATTGTCAACAGTATGGTTGACGATAAGGCTGGGTGTCCATGTTCCAGGAGCATTCCCTCCTGACGTTTTGCCTGCATCTAGGGCAGGCATCCTCAGAGGTTGTGGGGTCATTTGTAAAGGGGAGAGGGGCACTTAGCACTGATTACCAGACACCCAAACCAAACCAGAGCAGCTTGCTAACGTGTTGTCTTTTTTTCCTCCTTCCTTCCTTCCTTCCTAGAGAAACCTGACGGAGTATTTTGTGGCTGTGGATGTGAACAACATGCTGCACCTCTATGCCAGTATGCTGTATGAGCGGCGCATCCTCATCTGCTGCAGTAAGCTGAGCACTGTGAGTTGCCGGGCAAGGGGTCTCTCCCGCGACACGGGTGGGAGTGGATGGGCTCACGGAGAAGGAGAGTGGGTGGGGTTCACTTTGCATGTCCCCAAGCAAGCCACGCACGTTTGGGCCGCCAGATTATGGAATGGCCCTCTGCGATGTCAATAAAGGTGGAGTGGCCCTCTGTGATGTTGCTAGAGGTGGAGTGGCCCTCTGTGATGTCACTGGATTGGCTGTTTGCTAGGTGGAGTGGCTCCCTATCATGTCACTAGGTTGACTGTTGCTGGGTGTAGTGTCCCTCCATTATGTCACTGGATTGGCTGTTTGCTAGGAGAAGTGGACCTCTGTGATGTCACTGCATAGGCTGTTGCTGGGTGGAATGCCCCTCTGTGATGTCACTGGAGGTGTAGTTGCCCTCTGTGATGTCACTGGATTGGTTGTTTGCTAGATGGAGTGGCCCTCTATGATGTCACTATGTTGACTTGCTAGTTGGAGTGGCCCTCTGCGCTGTCACCGCATTGCCTGTTACTGGGTGGAGTGGCCCTCTGTGGTGTCACCAGATTGGGTGTTGCCAGGTGGAGTGGCCCTCTGTGGTGTCACTGGGAAAGAAAAGTGGCACTTGCTTTCAACAAACAAGAGTTCTTCCTCCGACCCTGGGCATGATTCCACAGGAATATCTACGCCCTGTTTGCCTCAATAGTATCAGAACCTCCGAAGATGCCTTAAGCCACAGATGCAGGCGAAATGTCAGGAGGGAATGCTGCTGGAACAGGGCTACACAGCTCGAAAAACTCACAGCAAGCCAGTGATTCCGGCCATGAAAGCAATATATTGCTTTGAGTCTCTCTTTTGAGAGTCAAAGCAACTTGCAGTAGTGACCCGCCATAATAATAATATAATTATATACACACATACACATACATACACACACACACACACACACACACACATATATATATATAAATCTGTCATCAGAGTTCATATAGAGAGGGTCACAAGAAGGATTCATTTGAAAGCATAGTTTATCAATGTATATATATATATATATAGAGAGAGAGAGAGAGAGAGAGAGATGTGGAGATATATATATGTATGTATAGAATTATATTATGTATAGAATTATATATATATATATATATATATATATATATATATATATAAAAATCTGTCATCAGAGTTCATATAGAGAGTGTCACAAGAAGGATTCATTTGAAAGCATAATTTATCAATGTATATATATATATATATAGAGAGAGAGAGAGAGAGAGAGAGATGTGGAGATATATATATGTATGTATAGAATTATATTATGTATAGAATTATATATATATATAAATCTGTCATCAGAGTTCATCAAGAGAAGGTCAGAAGGAGGATTCATTTGAAAGCATAGTTTATCAATGTATATATATATATATATAGAGAGAGAGAGAGAGAGAGAGATGTGGAGATATATATGTATGTATAGAATTATATTATGTGTATATATATATATATATAAAAATCTGTCATCAGAGTTCATATAGAGAGGGTCACAAGAAGGATTCATTTGAAAGCATAATTTATCAATGTATATATATATATAGAGAGAGAAAGAGATGTGGATATATATATATATATATATATATATATATATATATATGGATTGATAAACGATGCTTTCAGGCGCATCCTCCTTGTGACCTCCTCTTGATGAACTCTGATGGCAGAAGATGATAAGAAGCCCATTTTTCGTAATTTCCGCCCGATAAGGACGCGGGCTTAATGCCACTCGGGGTCCATCAAGTGCCGGGGAGATGAAAGGCGGCTGCGCACTCAAGGGGCCATTCACCCGGCTAAATGCCCTCCTCCCCGTCCTCTAAAAGGCACAAACAACCACACAACACACACCCCGGCTCAGAATCATTCAAGAGTTAGATCCGTATCTTTGGCGAGGTTTTCTCAGTCAATAGGCTCCGGCTTCCCTGTTTTAAAATAATAATGCTTTCCCTGGGTAAATTGAGAGCAACGTTGGCTTTTCCTAATGTGTGTGTGTGTGTGTGTGTGTGTGTGTATTTCCTGCATCATCTCTTCTCTGGTTGCTTAGTGACTCTGTCCTCTTTGGGTCTGATCTCGAGTGGATGATCACGTCAAGGAGTTTTAGCTGTGGTTTCAGCTCCTTAAATGTTTATTTGTCATACTGTTCAGGTTTGATACATAAATAATATAACAACAACAACAATAAGGACTACCTCTGAGGATGCTTGCCATAGATGCAGGTGAAACGTCAGGAGAGAATGCCTCTGGACCATGGCCATATAGCCCGGAAAAACCTACAACAACCCAAAAAGATCTTTGTTTTTGTTTTTAGGTTGCAACTATAGTTGTCAATGTCATCACACTTTTTCCATTTTGGTCTGTTAAGGAGAAATGAGATGAACTCGAACCACTACCATGGTTGAGCAACATGACTTGCTATTTATTGATCGTGTCAGAAGCAAATTGAGAATAAAGTTGTAATGTATTTCCAACATTTGGCATGATGCTAAATGTCCTTTGACCAGAAGCTGGCCACTTGGAGTGTCTCTGGTGTTGCTGTGAAAAGGCTCTCCATTGTGCATATGGCTATTTGTTTATCACGTCAGAAGCGAGTTGAGAACACAGTTGAAATGTATTAAACAAGGATATTGTTGGCTGTCTTGAGTCCCCACGGGGAGAAAGGCAAGGTATGAATCAATATCCTTGGACCAGAAACTGGCCACTTGCAGATCCTCATTGTAGTTGATGGTCAGTGGTTTGCTCTTCTTCACACTCACATGTTGTGGACTCCACTTGGTGGCCCCTTTTCTTGGCTCAGGACTTGTGCTGCCAGAGCACAGCCTGTTTAGTGCCTTCCAAGTCGCTCAGTCTTCTGTGTGCCCAAGAGGGAGTTTCTCATCCAGTCTCATCCTGTTTTTGCCTGCCACTTTTGGACTCTTGCTTGCTGAGGTGTTTCTGCAAGTATCTCTGTAGATCTTAAGAAGCTGTTTCTTGATTTAAGGTGTTGGTATGCTGCCTGATACCTGAACAGAGAGTGGGCTGGAGATGTCACTGCCTTCGCTCTTTCATGACTGGCTGCTACTTCCTGGCAGATGTCAGGTGGTACAATAGCTAAACAGTATAATTTCTGCAGCAGTTTTCAGCGTAGACATTATGTGCTAAGTCAGCATGTCTCATTAAAGGCCTGCCTCAAGGGAGTGTGCTTCATAGGAAATCTGCTACAAAACAGGAGCTTTTTTGTTGAGTTCCAGGGTCAGAGAAGCAGAAGAATGGCCTTGCTTGCTCCATTGATGCCCGCTCCATCAAAGTTCAACATATACACAAATGACCAGCCACTGCCAGAAAGGACAGAGAGTTTCATCTATGCTGACGATCATGCCATCACTACCCAAGCAGGGAGCTTGGAAATGGTGAAACAGAAGCCCTCCTAAGGCCTAGGTGCCTATTACAGGGAAAACTAGCTGATTCCTAATCTATCTAATCTATCTAAAACACAGACGTGTGCTTCCCATCTTGAGAACAGACAAGCATCTTGAGCTGTGAGGATGACCTCGGAAGGAATCCCTCTGGAGCATTGCAGCACACCCAAATATCTGGGAGTCGATTTGGACTGTTCTCTGACTTATAAGAAGCACTGCTTGACAATCAAGCAAAACGTGTGTGCTAGAAATAATATCATACGAATGCTGACTGGCACAACCTGGGGATCACAACCAGGCACAGTGAAGGCATCAGTCCTTGCGCTGTGCTACTCTGGTGCTGCGTACACATGCCCAGTGTGGAACACATCTCACCACTTTAAATAAATTATTATTATTATTATTATTATTATTATTATTATTATTATTATTTGAAACACCACAAGATGAGTCCACAGCAGACACTCTGCTGGCTGTTGTATTGGATCACACGTTGGACACTTCCCAAGTGTCTAGGACTGTGTGATGTATCGGCAAATAATGTGTCCAGATCCCTTCTACAGCAGGCAGGTGGTAATTTTGTCAGCACCGATTGTGTTTAAGTGCAGGCCAAGGTCTTTAGGCATTGCACCCAGTGTGCCGATCACCACTGGGACCACCTTGACTGGCTTGTGCCAGAGTCTTTGCAGTTCAATATTTAAGTCCTCATATTGTGTCAGCTTTTCCAGTTGTTTCTCTGCAATCCTGCTGTCGTCTGGGATTGCGACATCGACAATACTTTGTTTTTTAACACAATCATGAGGTCAGGAGTGTTGCGCTCCAAAACTCTGTCAGTCTGAATCCGGAAGTCCCAGAGTAGCTTGACGTGTTCCTTTTCTGTAACTTTTTCCGGCTTGTGATCCCACCACTTCTTTGTCACAGACAGATGGTATTTGTGGCACAAGTTCATCTGAGCAACGGTGTTGTGCCTCTGCTTGTAGTCTGTCCATGATCTTCTTGCAGCAGCTGAGGATGTGATCTGTTGTTTCATCTGCTTCCTTGCAGAGTCTACACTTGGGATCTGTTGTGGACTTTTCAGTTCTGGCTTTGATGGCCTTGGTTCTGATGGCTTGTTCTTGGGCTGCCAGAATCAGGCCCTCCTTTCTCTCCTTTTTCAGAGTCCCATTTGTGAGCCACAGCCATGTTTGTTCTTTGTCAATTTGGCTCTCAGTTTTTCCCAGGGACTGTCCATGGAGAGCTTTCTTCTGCATTGTGTTTTAAATTATTATTATTATTATTATTACCATTATTATTATTATTATTATTATTATTTCCCATGGGTGAGTCTCTCCTTTAGAGGCTCAGAGCAACTCTCAATAATGAACTGCTGCAATAATAATAATAATAATAATAATAATAATAATAATAATAATAATTTCTTGCCCGTCTATCCTCACGGCTCAAGGTGGGTTACAACATTGTAAAACACACATTCATCTAAAAACATTCTTTAAAAATTAATAATAATAATAATAATATAGATGGTGATGATGTGGCAGCTGAATTGTAAAAGTCCATAAAAACAAGCTCTGTGTGGAAGGGAAAGGGGACCACTTTGCAATCAATAAAGAAGAAAGGCAACACCTAAGGAAGGAAAAGATGGAGGGGGAATCTGGGTGCACATTGTGCTTCAATCCCAAGAAGTTGTGATGAACCGTGATAAGACCTTGGTGTCCACACAGGATTTTGACCTGCATTGTGGCTTCTCCGCTTCCAACGTTGCCTGTTTCAGATGTGTGCCGGGATTGGAAACACATTGTATGTGTGTGTGTGCAAAAGCAAGGCGTTGAAAGGCCTTGCAGGAGGAACTTTCATGGCTTGTTTGATGTTTCCTGGCCCGTTCCGAAGCGCACTCCAAAGCATGCGCTTGCTCCTTCCTTGAAGTCCGTTCACAGACTCGGGTGCTGATATTTTCCTTATGCATCCTCTTGCCTTGAAATTGTGCGCAGTGTTGGATGTCTGGTCTTTCTCATTGAATCTTCACATTGGAAGAGACCCCCAAAGGTCATCCAGTCCAACCCCTTTCTGCCAGGAACAACACCATCCAATCCTTCCCGACAGATGGACATCCAGCCTGTCACAGAATCCTACTTTTGGAAGAGACTCCCAAAGGTCATCCAGTCCAACCCCTTTCTGTCAGGAACAACACCATCCAATCCTTCCCGACAGATGGACATCCAGCCTGTCACAGAATCCTACTTTTGGAAGAGACCCCCAAAAGTCATCCAGTCCAACCCCTTTCTGCCAGGAACAACACCATCCAATCCTTCCTGGCAGATGGCCATCCAGCCTGTCACAGAATCCTACTTTTGGAAGAGACCCCCAAAGGTCATCCAGTCCAACCCCTTTCTGCCAGGAACAACACCATCCAATCCTTCCCGACAGATGGACATCCAGCCTGTCACAGAATCCTACTTTTGGAAGAGACCCCCAAAGGCCATCTAGTCCAACCCCTTTCTTCCAGGAACAACACCATCCAATCCTTCCTGGCAGATGGCCATCCAGCCTGTCACAGAATCCTACTTTTGGAAGTGACCCCCAAAGGCCATCCAGTCCAACCCCTTTCTGCCAGGAACAACACCACCCAATCCTTCCCAACAGATGGCCATCCAGCCTGTCACAGAATCCTACGTTTGGAAGAGACCCCCAAGGTCCATCTAGTCCAACCCTGTTCTGCCAGGCAGGAAAAGCACAATCAAAGCCCTTCCAAAAGATGGCCATTTGGCCTCTGTTTAATAAGCTTCCAAGGAGTCAGAGGCAGAGAGTTCCACTGCTGAACTGTTGGGTTCTGCGAGAACACTGTTTGGGCACCGCTTCCTTTAAGGTGACCCTCCCGCCCTGCTTTTGTGACTCTTTCGCACCTGTTCCTTTGGGGTTAAATTCCAGTGGAACCTTCTGCGGAGCTTGCCAAGCTTGCCGAGAAATAAGTCAACAATAGGCTTTTATGATTCAAATGACTTAATTTTCTCCCGTAGTTTGGAAGCCCGTATTTATAGCCACAAAGGAGTGTGGGGGAGAGAGTGGCGCATTAACGGGCGCATTGAGCGGAGGGGCCATTAGCTCCGAGGACCCCTTTTCTCCTTCTCGGCCCCCTCCGCGCTCCTCTTAGCAGGAGACCGGCTTTGCCACGGTCCCTTGCGATTCAGGTGACGACGCTGAGCCGTTGTTAGCGAGTCCCATTCGGTGCACAATGGCGCAAAACAAGCCGTTCGAAAGCCCTGAAAAGCAGAAGTTGGATTCGTTTTGGAGATGTGCGAGAAAGACAAAGTCCCCCATGACCTTCTTCCAACTCTAGTATTCTATTATTCCCAAACAGAGGATGGACCGAAGATGTCCATGCCTTGGTCCGTTCATTTTTGGCTGCGGTGGTGCACTACCAGCTAAACAGTGTCATTTCTCCAGCGGTGTCGGGCGCAGACACCCCGTGATAATGCATGTCTCATTTAGACCACATCCACTGTTTTAGCGTGGTGAGATGTGTTCCACACTGGGCATTTGTACTCAGCAGCAGAGTAGCCAAGCACAAGAGCAGATGCCTTCACTGTGTCTGGTTGTGATCCCCAGGTTGTGCCAGTCAGCTTTCGTACGATATTATTCTTCACACCCACTTTTTGCTTGATATTCAGGCAGTGCTTCTTGTAAGTCAGAGCACGGTCCAGAGTGACTCCCAGGTATTTGGTTGTGCTGCAATGTTCCAGTGAGATTCCTTCCCAGGCCATCCTCAGAGCTTGAGATGCTTGTCTGTTCTTAAGATGCAAAGCGCATGCTTGTATTTTAGATGGATGAGGAATCAGATGGTTTTCCCTGTAATAGGCAGTAAGAGCACTTAAAGCTTTGGAAAGCTTCTGTTCAACCATTTCAGAGCTCCCTGCTTGAGCAGTGATGGCATGATCGTCGGCATAGATGAAACTCTCTCCTCTTTCTGGCAGTGGCTGATCGGTTGTGTATATGTTAAATATGGACGATGCAAGCTTGCTTTCCCTGTAATAGGCAGTAAGAGCACCTCGAGCTTCAGAGAGCTTCAACCATTTCAAACCTCCCTGCTTGAGCAGTGATGGCATGATCGTCAGCGTAGATGAAACTCTCTGTCCCTTCTGGCAGTGGCTGATCATTTGTGCAAATGTTAAACATTGATGGTGCAATCTGGCTTTCCCTGTAATAGGTGGTAAGAGCACCTCAAGCTTCAGAGAGCTTCTGTCCAACCATTTCATAGCTCCCTGCTTGGGTGGTGATGGCATGATCGTCGGCATAGATGAGACTCTCTATCCCTTATGGCAGTAGCTGATCGGTTGTGTATATGTTAAACATGAATGGAGTAAGCTGGCTTTCCCTGTAATAGGCAGTAAGAGCAACTAAAGCTTCAGAGATTCTGTTCAACCATTTCTAATGCTCCCAGCTTGAGTGGTGATGGCATGATCGTCAGCATAGAGGAACCTCTCTGTCCCTTTTGGAAATGGCTGATCATTTGTCTAAATGTTAAGCATGGATGGAGTAAGCATGGTCCCCTGGAGAAGGAACAGAAGAACCACTACCACCTTATGTCCACCCTCCATGGCTTCCGCTTGTGACATTTTCCACAAGGCTCGTACTTGTGGTGGCACGATCATCAGCATAGAGGAAACTCTTTCCATTCTGGCACTGGCTGAGAATTTGTATTTATTTACTGTACTAGACATCCCCTGCCACTCGTTGCTGTGTCCCAGTCTGTGTATATGTGTTTTGTGTGTGTACATATGTGTGTATTTGTGTATATGTGTATATATGTGTGTTTGTTGTTTTGCACATGTGTTGTAATATATATATTTGTTTTTTGGCTTTTTAAGTCTCTTCCGCTGAGTTTTTCAGTGCTTTTATGAGTGATGGTCACTCGTTGGCCTGAGAGGTGTCTTGTGTCCAAATTTGGTGTCCGTTCGTCCAGTGGTTTTTGAGTTATGTTAATCCCATGTTTATATTTATATAGATTTATATCCTGCCTTTCTCATTTGTGTAAATGTTGAGCATTGATGGGGCAAGCACACTCCCCTGTGGCAGGCCGTTCTTCTGTCTTCGCTGAGAGAAGCCTCCCCATAGGATCGTAACACATCCGGGCGTCTTTGTAGACTGCTGATTCTCTCACACCAGAAGCAACTTGCAGTATGCAACCAACCGAACAAACAGTATGCTGATGCCGTTCCTTTTTGTGCCTTCCAGTTAACGGCCTGCATCCACGGCTCCGCAGCGATGCTTTACCCCATGTTTTGGCAACACGTTTACATCCCTGTCCTGCCCCCGCACCTCTTGGACTACTGCTGGTGAGTACGACTTCTTCCGCTGTTTTCCTCCTCTAAATTTGCACTTTCCTGTAAATACGTCTGCATTTTGATATTCCAGTTTTCGAAAAAGAAACAAGTGTTCACATCTCTGGCAGACGTATGTGCGAATGTTCAGTGCCACCTCTAAAAGAACATACTGCGTTGACTCGAATCTAACGCTCACCTTTTTTTGGCTAAATGACCTTGCCAAAATCAGGCTGCGGATTAGATTTGCATAATATTATAATCTTAGTGCTGAGTCAAATCCAAAGGGGAAAATGCTTCAGGAGCTTCTCCTCTTGGAGGGACGTCTTCTCTCGTTTAATTGCATTGATTCAATGCTATGGGATCCTGGGATTTGTAGTTTGGTGAGCCATCAGCATCCTTTGGCAGAGAAGGCTCAAGACCTTGCAAAACTACAACCCCATGATGATGAGGATGATGATGATAATAATAATAATAATAATAATAATAATAATAATAATAATAATAATAGCAACCTACCACCATCTTTCCAAGGGAACTCAGGGCGGCATAAAAGGAACTTTGTGTATATTGGACTCATGCAATAAAAGTGGACTCATTCTGCAGTATAGATCACGCAGGGGTGAACTTGGACCCTCCAAGTTTTGGACTTCAAGTCCCACAATTCCTAACAGCCTCGGGCCTTTTCCTTTTCCTTTTCCCTTTCCTTTTCTGCTTAAGCAACTGAGGGGGAAAGGAAGGAGCCTGAGTCTATGAGGAATTGTCGGATTTGAAGTCCAAAATACCTGGAGGGAGGGCCCAAGTTTGGCCATACCTGTTGTACAATATCCTTGGCACCAAGATGGTGGCTTTCCTTCCAAAGCATTGGTGGGTTATTTTGTGGGGCTGCTCCTTCTCCCGCGTACCTCCATGGATATAGCAAACTATCCGTCCCCTGCCACGCCTTGCTGTGGCCCAGTCTGTGTAGATGTGTTTTATGTGTGTATATGTGTGTGTATATATTTGTGTATATGTATATATGTGTGTTTGCATATATATATATATATACACACACACCCACACCCACACACTAGCAGTCCCCTGCCACGTGTTGCTGTGGCCCAGTCTATGTATATGTGTTTTATGTGTGTGTATATGTTTGTGTATATGTGTGTTTATGTATATATGTGATTTGCACATGTGTTGTAATGCATTTTTTGTATTTTTGGCTTTTTACGTCCCTTCCACTGTGTCTTTCAGTGTTTTTATGAGTGATGGTCACTCATTGGCCTGAGAGGTGTCTTGTGTCCAAATTTGGTCTCAATTTGCCCAGTGGTTTTTGAGTTATGTTCATCCCACAAACGAACAGAACATTTTATATATATACTAGCCGTCCCCTGCCATGCGTTGCTGTGGCCCTGTCTGTGTATATATGTTTTGTGTGTGCATATATGTGAATGTATTTGTGTATGTGTGGTTTTGAACATGCATTATAATGTATCTTTTTTATTTTTTGGCTTTTTAAGTCTCTTCTGCTGTGTTTTCAAGTGTTTGTCTGAGTGATGGTCACTCGTTGGCCTGTTAGGTGTCTTGTGTCCACATTTGGTGTCCATTTTATTTATTTACTTTACTTGTATACCGCAGTTTCTCAGCCCAACAGGCGACTCAACGCGGTTTACAACAAGGATAAGAATCAATCAACGATATACAATTTAAAACCATAAAAGCATAATATACAATATTGATACAACAATAGACAACACAATGCATCTCATATCTAGAGTCGTGATCCAATCCGTCGTCCAAATTTCCATTCCTGTAACCATTCCCCCAGTGGTTTTTGAGTTCTGTTAATCCCACAAACGAACATTCCATTTTTATTTATATAGATGCCAAGAACTCCCAGTAGTGAATATCCCAGCGTGCAGGTGTATCAGTGGAGATGGGAAGGTCAAGCGAATGTCCAGTTGGCCTTCCTTCCGGCTCCTTTTGCCGGCCCAAAGGGGACCTTGTGCTGCCACGATCCTGGGCATTGTGTTGCGTTTGGGGGTGGTTGTGCCAAGTCCTCGCTTGCTCGCGGCTTCAGGAAGAGAAAATGACTGGCAGGAAAAAAGTGCAATTATGCCCGAGGACCCAGCTCTTTTCCCCCTTGATTACAGTATCCCGTTGGCAAAAATATTGGTTAGTTACATACATTTAGGGAGCCGGGAATAAATAAGGCTTCCTTGCTTCCCTCCCCTTTGCCTCTGCATTATTCAGCCTAGAAAGCTTCCAGCTTTGGCAGCAGCTAAAATTTACCAATAAACACCTGCCACATTTTTGGAGCCTGGCTTTTGAAGTATAGCTCTCGCTTGCTCTCCCTCCTTCCCTCCCCACTTCCTTTGGCAACATCCCTACAATTTCCCAGCGAGGCAGGCTCACGCTGCTCCTGTTTCTCTCCACCCTCGTTAGCTTTGTGCTGCTCCTTGTTAATTTCACGCCGAGGGACTGAGTGACAGGGGCAGGCATCAGAAAGAGGGCTTGGCAATGGGGAAACGGACTGGCTCTGAAGAACACCTGGTTGACCTGGAGGCCGGCACCCAGCCCAGGTGGATCTGCAATTGCTTTGGCAACCAAACCCAAAGGGTGCTTCTCACCAATGGTTCCTCCTCTTCACCCTGGATGGAAGTGACCAGTGGAGTGCCATCAAGAGGTTCAGTTCCGTTCAATGTCTTTATCCATGACGTGGGTGAAGTTCTAGAGTGGTGGTTCCCAACCTTTGGGTCTCCAGGTGTTTCAGACCAGCTCCCACAGTTCCTAACAGTTGGTAAGATGACTGGGATTTCTGGGAGTTGAAGATTTGGTGGAGAACAAGCTGAACATGAGCCAAGAATGTGATGCAGCAGCTCAAAAAGCCAATGGGGTTCTGGGCTGCATCCAAAGGAGTCCAGTGTCCACATCAAGGGAAGAAGTCCTGGTGTCTCTCTGTTCAGCTTTGGTCGAACCTCTTCGCCTTGGAATCAATTCTGGGCCCCACAATTCAAAAAAGAGATGAACTTTAAGCTGGAGGAAGTCCAAAAGAAGAGGGAGACTCAAAAGACCAAAGGTCTGGAGACCATGAATGCCTCTGAGGAGCATCTAAAAGAGTTGGGTTGGTTGAGTCTACAGAAGAGAAGGCTGAGAATAGACATGAGAGTTGTATCAGAAAGGATGTCCAAAGGAAGAGGGAGACTCAAAACATCAAAGGTCTGGAGACCATAAATAATCCCTCTGAGGAGCACCTGAAAGAGTTGGGTTAGTTGAGTCTACAGAAGAGAAGGCTGAGAGGAGACATGAGAGTCGTATCAGAAAGGATGTCCAAAGGAAGAGGGAGACTCAAAAGATCAAAGGCCTGGAGACCATGAATGATCCCTCTGAGGAGCATCTGAAAGAGTTGGGTTGGTTGAGTCTACAGAAGAGAAGGCTGAGAGGAGACATGAGAGTCATATCAGAAAGGATGTCCAAAGGAAGAGGGAGACTCAAAAGATCAAAGGCCTGGAGACCATAAATAATCCCTCTGAGGAGTATCTGAAAGAGTTGGGTTGGTTTAGTCTATAGAAGAAAAGGCTGAGAGGAGACATGAGAGTCATATCAGAAAGGAGGTCTTAAGAAAGAGGGAGAAAGGATGTCCTAAGAAAACTAAGACTCAGTGAAGCATTGAGTTCAAACTACAGAAAAGGAGGTTCCACCTGAACATTAGGAAGAACTTAAGAGCTGTTCAACAGTGGAACTCTCTACCTCAGAGTCTGGTGGAGGCTCCTTACTTGGGGGCTTTTAAACAGAGGCTGGATGGCCATCTGTCAGGGATACGTTGATTGTACTTTTCCTCCATGGCAGGGGTTGGGTCTAGATGGCCCATGTGTTTTCTTCCAACTCTAGGATTTCATGATCTCTAATTTTGGATTCTTAGGGGTATTAGCTGTCCCCCCCCCCCCCAATTTGGTGTCACCTGCGGATGTGATCAGCATGCCTTCTCTTCCAGTCATTGATAAAGATATGGACTTACTTAGGTGATCCCTTGTAGTCCGAGGATGATGGTCCTCCAAGTGTAGTATCCTGGCGGTGGGTCCTGTGGAGCCCTCTTCTTGATCTGCATCTTCATCCGCAGTGAGGGCATCGTTTTCCAGGTGGAAGGCGGTCTCGGTCGGGGTTGGCTTGACGCACTTTCCTCTTGGCACATTTCTCTCTTTCACCCTCCATTTGTGCCTCTTCAAATTCTACAACACTTCTGGTCACAGCTGACCTCCAGCTGGAGCACTCAAGGGCCAGGGCTTCCCAGTTCTCAGTGTTTATGCCACAGTTTTTGAGGTTGGCTTTGAGCCCATCTTTAAATCTCTTTTCCTGTCCTCCAACATTCCGTTTTCTGTTCTTGAGTTCGGAGTAGAGCAACCGCTTTGGGAGACGGTGGTCGGGCATCCGGACAACGTGGCCGGTCCAGCGGAGTTGATGGCGGAGGAGCATCGCTTCAGTGCTGGTGGTCTTTGCTTCTTCCAGCACGCTGACGTTTGTCTGCTTGTCTTCCCAAGAGATTTGCAGGATTTTCCGGAGGCAGTGCTGATGGAATCGTTCCAGGAGTTGCATGTGATGTCTGTAGACTGTCCACTTTTCGCAGGCGTAGAGCAGGGTTGGGAGGACAATAGCTTGGTATCAGCATGCCTTCACTTCCATCTCCCTAGTCATTGATAAAGATATGGAATACACCTGAAAGGCCCCTGACTGGCCACTTCCCTTCTTCTCTAGGAGATGGATATTGAGTTCCCCTCTCTGTTTGGCTTTGGTTGTTCATAAGAGCGGAGACCAAACCAGTGGCCACCGCCGAGAAGGAGACGCAGGAACCTCGTCAGGTTTCAACTGCACCATCTCCACCAGCCTTCTGCGTCTTCCATCGTTATCCACAAATGTCACAAAATTGGCACCTGGCAGATCAATTCCTTCTCTGGTTGGTGCTTGTAAAATATCGTTTTCCCTCGCTACTTTGCAGTTCGCTTTTTGCGGAATCGCTGTTTTGCAGTTTTCCT